TTGCGGTAGTGCCGAATGACTCGAAATCATGATTTGAAATAAAAAATTCACTGCCATTTGTCATTGGAAACGATCAGTTTGGCAGTAAGCGCAACGTAGAGGAAATTATTAAGAACAAGTACGATAGTAATTTCAAAGCATATTAATAAATAGTAAAATAACCTAGTGGAGACCACCATTATCTAACAGTTAGAGGTAGCTAAAATAGCATAGAGCTGCAAAGATCTGCGTATTGTGTGTAACGATCCCTTCAAGTATGATGAGTCTGAAGAAGTAAAACTGAATAGCCTGTGGGACACTTAATTGAACTGGTTGTCTAAAAGCACCTAGAAATTCCTTTTTGAAATGGTTTCTTCGAACAGCTAGAGGGTGTGACACAAAGAGAGGATTATAAAGGTCATCACAAATTGACATATTGTCAAATATGATAGAAATGGCACAAGAGAGAACTATTCTACTGAAAACTATGGAGGAGATGTCGAGCGGATAACAGAAAAGCCTTTCACCATGCCTGAGAACACATTTTAAAGACATAAGATTGTAATAAGGAGATGAGTTAATGAGCTGTCGCAGTCCAACGGACTTCCCTCATTCGAGAAACACCATGAATACCGGCACTATGTATCTGTCGGAGATTCGTCAAGAAGCTTTACTATCGGATTGGTGGCCGTCGTGATTTTCGTTTGCCTCCCGACAAACTCAGTCAGTAATGAACCTATGCTTACTTCAGCCAAATTTATAGCAATCGCCTACCACTATAGCTTTAATGGGTTTCAAATATGAATGACACCAAGAAATGCAAAGCACGTCCAGAAATAATTGGTTTGAATTAGGGTAATTTGAAGAATAGCCCTAGACAGGAATGGGATGCCTGAATAATATTCAGTAAGTTATCGCCCTCCACAAGCATTACGTGAACAATCAGCTACCAAATAATTGCTCGATCATAGAACGGAAACTACTGTTTGAGAAGTACTGCATATACAAACCACTTCACAATGGAACTCTTTACTGGTTTTTGAGTATTATGAGTAGTTCAACAGTATTTCATTCACAAGGGTCGAGCAGCAACACAAGTATGTAGATTCACCCAGGAAGAAGAACTCCCATCCCTCCGAATACGAATACGTGGTTGGTTTACAGTCACTTTCTTCGAGTGTAGAATGATTTGTTTCCACAATGGCCTCAGCAGATCATGGCATATGCAATATGTATGTGTTCAAAATGCCTCTGCATTTTTGAGTAGAAGATGAATGTTCAGTGAATTTCTGTCCAATTTGCATCATAAATGTACCTACCGCTTTCCCAATCGCTGTAGAAATCCAATGTGTTCTTCGGCAATGTAAACGACTTTTAAGCAACAAACTAGGAGATTCCAATTATGAAGAAAATGAAAAAAACGAAAAATTAATATCTAATTTTTATGACACACACATATATTTAAGCACTAATGCTTTCAGCTGCCTAGGTGCATTATATTCGGTAACTCGTCTACCCATGATATAACGGATTAGTCTCCCGTCCTCCTGAGAGCGAGACTGTACGGTAAAATTGATGAATACATGAATGATTACAATTGGACTTTGGGGGTAGCAGAAGCAGTCATCTGAGCGAGGTCTACTTTGTGAAAATTTTCAAAATGAGGCGTCATCAACGAAAAGAGCCTGGTGAAGTTATTTCAAGAATGAAGGTTAATGGACTTCCAGGAAAGAATATGGGTTCCGCTGTAAAAAATTCATATTGAAAAAAAATGGCAGGAGAATCATAGAGGCAAAATATTGTAGAGTCTTTTGCTCCAGCAAAATGACGAAAATTCCCTGCCGTTCAATGCCCCGAAGTTACCCAAGTGGTCAGTAAGCAAGCCAGCAAGCCGAAGCTTCGAGGCTAACCAGTTGAAATGATTGAACTCCTCGGATCTTTCACCCTTGTCTTCCACACCTGTCTTCATTTGCAATGCCTTACTCTCTGTTTTAACTCACTTGTACTCTCATTCAATCTTCTTTTTAGCCATTACTCTCAACTATTCTTTTTATTACTTTCCACTTACTTTTCGATAGCATCGATAGCAGCCGAATTGTCAACTTGGGAATCATTGGCCACCGAGTCGCTTTTTCGAATCAGCGTCACCGGCCGCTTCGGATCCACTGAAATTTAGAGATTTTATCAAAAAATCATGAAATTAAAGCAGAAATAAGAAAGAAAAAGAGAAAGAGATCACCTCTCCCTGATAAAAACATCTGTACCATTTCATATTTTAACTCTTTGGTGTGCATTGTTATAGAGTTTTCTCACAATTCAAATAGCTGGGTCACTATTTTACGTTTCTTGACTCATATGCATGGAGTGTATTTGAGATAATAGAGAGAAAGTAATCTAACGTAATCCAACGCTTTATAAGGCCATTTTCGTGGGCGGACGGAACGACCGACAGAACATGAACTGTGCAGATTGGATTTGATGTAGATTTGATCGCAAAAGAAAAAAGAATAGCTAAAAGTTAGAAGTAGGTTCAAAGTGAAATAAGTAGTTGTGAATAAACTTTGAGAAATATCTAATGGTAAACCAGTATAGCAATCATATACATGGGGAAATTTCATCGGGAAATGTCTCTTTACTCTTGTAATTCTGTTATGGAACGATGAGGGCCAGAGACTTCTTACTGTCTTTCATGGTGGAGCTTTCGTCTAGGGCACGTGCCATTGGGGAGCTGAACTTCTGTTTCAATTATATCCCATCTCCTTTCCCGATACATTAGTTTTTAACCCTTATTTATAATCACTTATTCTATAGTTAGTAGCCACAGATTCACCTGCGAAGCATCAATCAAGCTTCTCAAGCGGAATGCGGCGGAAACTAAACCGCAAAAGTTGATAGGAAGCATCTGCACAACGAATGTTATTGTGAGGCTCGGTCGTGTAACACTTGTATAGCGTCAAGTTTGAGTGACATCTCGCCGACCTTCCCACATGTTGAAACGTTCATCCTAGGGTGACCACAACCAGCTGCTTCTACGTGGGAACCATCTTCCTCGTGAGATTTCCCCCGGTGAAAATCTGTGTGAGAACCAATGCAAAAGGCCGAATACAGCAAAAGTACATGATTTGATGAACGACCGTGGGTGGTGGCTGTGCGACCGAGTAAATACAGTATTCTTTGAGATTACGGTAGAGCATCGATATTACCACGTAGAAAAGCTGAAGTCCTAGCGGAGAGATTGCTCTTTAGAAGTTGGTTTTTATTTAGAAAAGATGGCTATATTTCCGCGATGTAACCGCAGGCAGTCTCTGTAGTTCTCTAGAGGTAGCCATAGCGTCTCCTGGTGAGGCAATGCAGAGCACTTACTTGTAGTGCAATCGCTTGACATCAGAGCGGATTGCGTGAAAGGATGGCATTAACCAACTGAGTCGAAAATGGGAGTGGAACTGTTGACGTTTTCTAGGAATTCCCGTACAGGTTGTCCTGGAGAAATCTCACGATTGAATAGCAAATGCTCTTAGACGAAAATGCGGAAAGATAGCTGAGAATAGAAAAACTCATCAAAGAAGGAAAACGTAAGCCGTCGGCTCCAAAAGACTGAAAACGTAATAGCATGGCTCAGAGTAAACAGGATAAGTAAATAAACATACCGCATGAAAATGGGATAACAACAACAAAACAATCATATATGAGAATCTCTGAAATTTTGGTTCACGAATAAATGGTTAGCTATGGAGGGGAGTGGAGCTGCTGAATTGCAGTTTCAGGTGGGCTCACTTTTCCTCTGGGGCCATAAAGTCCGCAAAGGACTTTGGACAAGTGTTCTACAGAAAAACTTTGAAAAAANATCTCACGATTGAATAGCAAATGCTCTTAGACGAAAATACGGAAAGATAGCTGAGAATAGAAAAACTCATCAAAGAAAGAAAACGTAAGCCGTCGGCTCCAAAAGACTGAAAACGTAATAGCATGGCTCAGAGTAAACAGGATAAGTAAATAAACATACCGCATGAAAATGGAATAACAACAAAACAATCATATATGAGAATCTCTGAAATTTTGGTTCACTAGTAAATGGTTAGCTATGGAGGGGAGTGGAGCTGCTGAATTGCAGTTTCAGGTGGGCTCACTTTTCCTCTGGGGCCATAAAGTCCGCAAAGGACTTTGGACAAGTGTTCTACAGAAAAACTTTGAAAAAAGGAAAAAGGAGAAAAGGGAAAATGTGAAAAACGAAAGAGCATCGGGTAATCAAGCAGGAAGTGGCTGATATTATCGCCTTAAAATTAAAATGGAGCCATGTCGCCAAAGTTGTTGAAAGAAGGTATTGACTCAAGAATATAGGGTCCATAAAGAAGCACGGAGATAGTGAATTACGGTAGGAAACATGTACTACAATGCCGTATAGCAATAAAGAATGCTCGATAGCCCGAAATCACAGAAAATTCAATCTTCCCGATATCATCCATACCTTCAGAAACGCATGTAATTGGTCAGTAGGTTCAACAAAAATAACAAATTACATGTGAAAGAAGTAGAGAAAGCTGACCAGGACAAATAGGCACTGGGCTAGAAAGAAGGCTTGTTTCAATCCTCTCAGTTCAAACCAATACAGAGCTAAATACAGAAGGTTGTTCCAAGACATTGAGGGTGGGCATTTCCAATTTCCGAAAAGCCATGCTTCTTGTTGCCACTTCAGAGTGACGAATGTAAATGAAACAATACAGGCAATATTGAACTAGACTGGAAGGGATATGAATGTGGAAGCTGTTAAGAGGGGATTCATTGAACCACTGGCCAGGCTGAGGACTGAACATATTGAAATGCT